TAGCTTCAAGAAAAATGTGTAGTTTTCTGAATTGTTAACTACATTATGTGTGTTACGGTAAATGCTACAGTGTCTTAAATATGACGGAAAGCTTTTAGCTTTATTTACCGTTTTGTCCACATGCATCAGCACCGCAGTGCGTAGCACCCAATATACTGGTACTAGACTTGCATCGCCTAGATCAGTCGAAACTATTCACAGTCAGGTTTTCACTGTTTTACGGTTAGTAAAGCTGCTTCACAAATGATACATTTTTTAAAGCAGTTAGTTCCCTTCAGAAATATTGAAAATCAGGGTAAGAAGACGAAAAATGGTAGATGCTGCATTTCGTATTGTCTCCTCAGTACCATTAACAATTACCGTTATGCAACTATATACTTAAATACTCGTGTGACCGAAAAATCATGAGGTGAAAAATGAATGACGGAAGTTCCACCCCTATGTACACGGCAGTCTTAAGCTGATAAATAATTGCTTTTGAACACACAGGGCCGGCTTCATCCTGCTTATCGCAACGGCCTCGGTGAAACGGAGGAAGCGGGGATTAAGGTGACGTAATACAAGTGTGAACGCTGATCCGAGCTCTATCCGGTGACGCGTAGTCAGTAGGTGTTAACCTATTGAGGAAGCTGGCGGCTTGCGCAAGCACGGAACTTTAGTGGGACAGGGATGCTGGTCAAGTTCACGTTAAACCCACCTTGGCACGTGTTCCTTTATTCGGGAAGTCAAAGACCGATTGGTTCTGCCTATGTAACTGTCTCCGCAGTCGCATACACATTTGTATATGCAGTATGAGTTTGCCCCCATCGGTTGAGCTTCCTTCGTTGGAGGCACCGGCAAGTTACAGGTTCTATTGATGACCACAACCTGGGCAGCACAGTAACTTCTCTGCGGAGCAGAGATTAAACGTTTCGTGGTTTTCAATACAGTAAAGTCATCCTTGGATGGCAACTCGATATAGATCTTTTTCTTGGCTGCCGTATGCACCAAGTCTTTCGGGCCTCGCTGTTGGCTGTGTCTCTCTATAAATCTACTTGGATAACCATTTACAACGAGTGTTGTTGTAATTGACTCTAGCCCGTCGGCTAGACAATCAGCGGAGCAAATTCGTCTAGCACGACTGACTAAAGTTTTCACAAGGGTCCGCTTGTACCGCGCTGGTGTGAAGCTGGTGAAGTGCAGGTATTGGCCAGACCAGGTTGATTTTCTGTAGATGGACATTTTAATGAGCGCGTCATCCTTGCGACTGAGGCGGATGTCTAAGAATAGCAGACAGTTCTTCTGTTCCACTTCGCAGGTGACTCGCAAGTTGGTATGTGCACAGTTGAGTTGCTGCACCAACTGGACAATCTGCTGCTCTGATGAACAAACGGCCAATATATCATCAACATAACGCTTATAGTATGGCAACTGGGCTATTTCTTTGGATATGCCTCTTTCTATCATCAGCATGAAGAAATTGGCAAGTACAGGGCCTAGTGGGCTACCCAATGCCACACCATGGATTTGACGATATGGGGTGTTCTGAAAATGAAAGCCAACATTTGCTGTGCACAGCAGTAAGGATTCCTTTAGAAATTCGACTGGAATTGGTAAAGAATAACTAGAGTTCTCGGCTAGCGCACATTTTTTGACAAACACAACGGAACAATGCTTTGTGACGGGTGTAAAGGCGAATTCTTGACAGATCCCGTAGAATAGTTAGGTTGATAATTAAAAACTAAAAAACAGTGTCACTGAAAGAACGCGGGAACTACAGGACTGACCAAGAGGGTTGAGTTAACTCATGTGTGAGTTACTAGTGGTTGTTGTGAGTAGCGTAATTTTCGCAGAAAGTAGAAGCCATGATTAAACTTTGCACAATAATCTGCCTCGACGGGGAATCGAACCCCGTCGAGGCAGATTATTCTACAGAGTATTGTGGTAAGAGTATCGTCATGGCATTTTTGAAAAGAGATAAGTTGATGGTAGTTATAACTGCGTCGGAAGAGCGTTCCAGTGCTATGACTTTCGGGGCGAGAAAAGGCTGCGCTGACATTCCAGTCAGCTGTACTGCATGACAAAGTTAAATAGATGACCTCTAGGAGAAGTAGTTTGACTAGGTTTCAAAAAAATATGTTATTTATGGTTGAGGTTTCTCAGGATCTGATGCTCCATTATGAGATCGCTGCTTAGACGCAGATGAAGTTCGCTGCATATTTTGCGAAAGCGGGACAAACCTCGGACGTACGTTGCCGGCCTGCGTTGTGCAGTATCGAGTGCGACGAGATGGTGCTACAGTCAGTTACCACGCTTAGAGGGTATATTCCACATGCGGCCTCATGTAGATTCTAAGCACTTTAGAAAAGACAGGCGTCAAGCTTCCTGAACACTACGAAGAAGGCCGAAGTGCTGGTTTGCTTTCTTTGATGTCTTTTCAGTCTGCCTCAAACAACCAAGGTTCTCCTGAAAAAGCACACATGGGATCGCACTCATGATAAGCCCGCTGTAACATTCGTGGTCCTAGGCTGTAGATTTGAGTATTCTGATGCCGTATGCTCAGACCTTTGCACTTGTTGTTGTTGAAATGCAAAACGTTTTTGATGGACTATGTGTATACTTTGTCCAGGTCAACTGCTAAGGTAATGTGGTGCTCCACCCGGGCTACAACACGTTATGTCTTTAGTTCATCTACAATTAGCTGTGAGTTCGAAGACAGTACACTAACAATAATATTTAAGAAAACCAGGAACTGGTGTGGCCCGAGTACTGAGCCCTGAGATACACCGCACTGAACTTCCATTGGTTGCAACGGTGCTGCGAAACCCCACATTCAGGTGAGGTTGCACGAGAAAGTCGATTATCCATCCCAATCCGGGACCGCCGATTCCCTATTCCTGCATTTTGTGCAGTAAAATACGAGGGTCTAGACGGTCGAATGCCTTTAAAACATCCAGGTAGGCCGCATCGACTCCTACACCTGCAACCGCAGACTCCATCAAACATTCAAGGACGATGAGCAGGCAGTAGTTAAGGACTGATTTTGGCGAAATCCGTGCTGTTTCGGAATCGGAAGATTGTTACTCTCCAGGTATCTCTTTAAATATTCAGACAGCGATCAAAAAACCGGACGACCACGAAAAGCTCCTGCTGGACCTCAACACGATTTCAACCTGGTCAGTTCAGCATACACTACCGTTCAATGTGGACCAATGCCACGCTGTTCAATTGCGTCATAGGCATGATTACGTGTATAGGTTTGTGTCACATATATTACAATCAACTTCCCAAAAACGCAAACTTGGTGTGCTCATTCAAATTGACCTTAACTGTTCAAAGCAGTCAGAGTCAGCTGCAAAGAGAGCCAAGCAACACGTCGGCTTGCTGAAGAGAGCATTCGGAAGATTCCACCCATCCATCTTCCACATGCTGCACAATTCTTACTTGCACCCTGACGTTAAATAACGGTATCCAAGCTTGGCAACCTTAGTAGAAGTGCGACTTAGAAATTATAGAAATACCACAACGCAGGACCACGAAGAAAGTCAAGGGCCTACGAAATCTGCCCTACCCTCAAAGGCTGAAGTCACTTGGAATTTTCAGTGGCCGCTACCGAAGGCTGCGCGATGATCTCATATTAGTCAACCAATGTTGAGTGATCCTAATCACGTATGCCGTCACATGCTGAAATGCAGCCATAACAACAATCTCTGAGGTGTCCTTCTGAAATTGTGTGCACAGTTTAGCCGCCTAGAATGCCGGCGGACTTATTTTTCTTTTCGGGTTTTCCTACCCTGGAACTCTCTCACAAACTTCGTTGTTTCCTTCCGGAACTTGGATACTTTCAAAAAACGATTGGATCTAGCCATTGGCCGGTGGCCGAGTGGTTGGCACGTTTGCTTTCCAACCATAAGGTCACCGGTTCGAATCCGCGTAGGGGTGGGCGTCCTCGCGGTATACTCAGCCTGCGCGCGACTGGTGGTGTTCGCGCGGCAGCGAAGCGCCGTTACGGCGTATAAGCTGACACATTCTTAATTTTTTTTCCAATACTTCGCTGCCTAAACTGCGCAAATTTGGTATCCTTCCAAACCGGATTAGCATGTTACATAAATCTGAGGATGGGGGATAGAATTGAATATTCTCTTTTTACCTTCTTACTTTTCTCACACAGTAAAATAACTATAACTGTCCCTATTTTGCCTATTTGTTCACATTCAGCTCCCACCTACACTACTATTATTTAGCGGCGTATCTGCTAGATAAACGCTCAAAACGCTAACTTACCTATCTTTTGATACTTTAGTTTGCCCCCACCATCCTGCGGAACTCCTCAAGCAACTGCTTTCTAACCCGGCATAAATTATCCTTCATTGTTCATTACACGATGGACTCCGTAAACTTGGGTATAACCTGAAGTACTGTTATCGGACGATAATTTTCTGGTTCTGGTGATTTTAATGATGATTCCGCGCTTTTACATCGTGGGGACGTGCATCCCGTTAAAGCATCTCAAAGAGAATTGCTACCGCTTCCGCTAAACGCATAGCGGTAGTGCAGATGACCCTGTGGTACATTGCATTCTGCATTGTTCCTGAGTACTTATTTGCTGCAAGACCGCAGTCTAAAAAGAAATGCTGTACTTGTTAAGACTGCTTTGATCGCAATAGATTATTAAGAGTGGACAGTTTTACCATTTTTGTGGCTACTCCAAACTACCCGTTTCTCATTCATGCACGGACGATCATTTACTGAGGCTTCAGCCTCGAGAACGGAACTACTTCCTTACCGATGAAGCAGTTTTAATATCCTATCCTACTGAATCCCCTTTCACTTATGCTGTTTGCACGTGTGCAAATATTATTCATGCATATGTAGAAGTCTGGTGCTTTTTCCTGGTTCACCTGAGTTTGTTGTTATGAGCGACGGTTACAGAACAAATGTTAAACCAAAAGTATCAATGCCTCATAAAAATGTCTCGTTCAGTTTGATCATTTTCACATCAGTCGTTTATTATTTTTAAGGTTTCGTGAACCCCGGAATATGTAAGTTAACACCGTTTTGAAGTTCGCCACCTCTAGTTGCCACATGCTATTGCATAATCTGTACTATGAATAAAGTAACTGTAAACCACCACAACCACATGTGTATGCATAACACTTTACCTGTTATCACTCTGTTGGTAGAAACAATTATGCCCAAGAATACGTGCATAACGTTTCACAATTTCTCCGAACAAGCCCAATACCAAGTAGCAAGTGCCAGATAGTCTGTATACAATATATCAAACAAAATACACACAACTCTTGCTAGTTGAGCTTTTCAAGCTTCTCACCCGCCCCCTTCTCGAATACTGCAGCATAATATGCGGAAATATGAGAAAGAGTGACAGAATTGCTGTGGAGAACCTGCAGAGATCATTTACTAAACATCTGATTGGTAAACACTCTGCTGTGACCTATCGATAACGTTGCAATGAACTTCATCTTGAACCACTTTGGATTCAATGATTGAAGCACAACTTGTTGCTGCTTTTCAACGTGTTACACAAATATGTCCATTGCAATCTGCCTACACACAATGTACGACATTGATCAACTCGAGCGCTTCGCAACAAAGATTTTACACTGAATATACCGAAGGCTAGAACGAATGTCCGCTCTAATTTCTTCCTGGTCAGATATAGCTATCTGCGGAATAAACTACTAATAACACTCAGGTCATGTGATAACGTGGAAACAGACACGCAAATTACCTTGACCTAACTGCTCTAAGCTCTATATTCACATGGGAATGATCTCTCGATGAGCTACTCCAAGAGTGGCCCAAAAACATATAAGCACCAATCTTTTCATAACCAGGCTTTGGCCTTAACCATCCGCCAGAATGTTAATACATGAAACGCAAATCTCAGTACTCCACCTATTCATGACACCCATGCCAGAGCATGGATTCTTCTGCACAAAATGATCTGTACCCCCATAGACACAGATTCTCTCATCAAGATGAACATACGTATTAGTATTATTATTTTTCCTTATACATGCAGTAGAGGACTACAAACATTTTCTTGTCCAGTGCCTAGTGGTTCGTAATAGATCAACGAGAGACTAACATGTAATGCAGACACTTGGTAGGAGGTCGGATAGCTTCATCACATCCGTTAGTAGGAGCAGGAGCTTTATGGAAGATGCACTTGAATTGCACCATCGTCAAAGATGAGCATGGGTTTCGTGCCTAAAGTAAACGAGTAGCTTAAATAAGTAGTAGCATTGACAGCTTCAACAAGGCTAACAATAGAAGTAGGAAGGCAAAGAGAAGCGGAAATAACTATGCTTTATGAACGAACCTATCCGACGTTTTATCTTCTGAATTGCTGTAACGAACCTCTACGACCTGTTCTATATATATAACACTGTGCAGGTAAAATCGAATGATGTTGGATTGCTGGATTAGTAGCTGGATCCAATAAAACATGTTTTCAATGGGATAAAAAACTTCCGGCAGTAAGGTTTAAAAATAGGAAATGCTTCCTGAGACCAAAAATTAACCTTCTTATTTGGAGTTGATGCTGAGTGAAATCCGGTTGCATATTACTTCTCCAGATGTACTTCATGAATATTCAGTGTAATAATTCATTTGCTGTCTGATTATGCCGATAATTATGCCTTTATATTTATGCACATTTGGAATTAACCATCTTTAATCTGATTTTATTAATATGAGATTATGTGCGGTTATCTTCTTGGTTTTCATCTACCTAAACTACTGCGAACATCAAACTCCAAATTTTCAAAGTATCCATTTTTGTTATTTTACAGCATTGGACGCATATTACAAAATCCACAGAACCAAATCCAGCGGAACTTGTGAAGAGTTTCTGAAAACAGTTAGTGTTGTTTAGAATTCTAAAATGCAAAATTCAGATGATCACCTTTCGTGAGATAGTTTGATCTGATTCTGTAGTGTTAAATTGCTCTGCTACTTACAATGACTCGATTTGACACGGAGGTTGCATGGTGTCATTATCAATTATTTATATCGCTTTTGTCAAACTCCAGCCAATCTGCAAACTAGTTCGTAACATGTTCGTAAGTTGTTACCACTAGCGTTGGTGCAATAAATGTAGGGTAAACCTCCTGTAGTTTTTGCAGATGTGTCAAGAAAGTGTTTCAATCGTGGTAGCAATGACGTAGGCCATAACGTATAGCAAAATTTTGCGCTTGTTTATTCTAAATGACGGAAAAGCTGCTAGTCATCCATCCCAGTAAGTTCATCGGGTACCATGCAAGAACATTCAAATTGTGTCAAAAAACCTGTCACCATATTTTCTAGCAGAATGGTCTAATTAAGGTTTTCGCTTAGGCCAATGGTATTTAGTGAAAGGCTGTCAATATATTGCAACCAGATGTTGCTGTGTAGATAGCTATGTTGAGCGCACTGACAGAAATCCAGATGCCTGAATCAGTGAGCACATTCCAGTGTCGCCGTATCGAATGGAGCGCGCGACGACTGCATCAGGTGAATCGAGTAGCAATGTTGTCTATGCAACTTAGAAGCAGTTGGTGGACACTGGTCGGCGGGTAAACCCAAATGAGCCATTCACAGTCCCCTTGCGCGGTCAAAGGCTTCACATTCCGAAGCTCCATGAGGCCCTTTTATCGATCAACAGCGCCCACCACTCTATGTTCAAAAACGGCTGTTGGTGACATTAAGGATACGGTGGCAGCGAGTAACGCGCCAAAAATAATACAACAAAAGGAGTTCATATTGCCTTATTTTGGTTCCGTTGTTATTTGCATGTGCGTGACCGACGAGAATGCACAAATTGACAGTCTCATTTCACAATCTTTTTCTGCTGCTACTTGGAATAAACAAATTAGATAAAATAGCTCCGTAAAGCACTACTCGGTTAATAGCCACGACAAGATCCAGCACGAATCGCACCCCACGCCAAAAGCAACTGGGCAGAACCTGCATCACAATGGAATAAAGGTAAATGTTAGCAGGTTAGCATAGATTTAACTGATCACCAAATACTCAAAAGTGCAATAACAACTGATGATGATGTGCACTGCAATGACTGTAAAGGAATAGTGAGCAGGACAGCGAGAGCGGGGGCAACGTGACACGTGACTTGTTAGGAATTCGAAAACAGGCGGAAGTAACACTGTACAATGCCTGGAATGTCTGAAGTTGCGAATTTATTCTAGCTAGTCAAGAAAGGAATGAATGTTTGCCATCCTCCAAGGTGCATTCTACTTCACGCTTAGCAACTGCTTATTTGTGATTTCAGAAGACAGATCCGATGCTGGGGAGCTTTCATATTGTACAGTTAAAGCTTTCCTGTTGACCTAGCTATACAATATCACACCGATGGTTGTTGCGAGCTAGGATGAAGAAAACGTGCAACACACAATGCGGTAATACCTTGTCGACCAATCGATGTCCAAAGCAAATGCAGTTTTTGATTCAGCCAATCGGACGCCAGATGCAGTTTGATATTCCGCACAGAAAGACTAAGCATACAAAAATTATTTTGAACAACGAGCTCTGATAAAGCGGGGAAATCTCGAGGCTATTACATCACTTACCAACAGAAGGGACGGTGTAAACAATACTACAATCTACGTCAGCATATTCATTGTCAGCTAGTCATCTGTAAGACTAGGAAGTCACACTATCCCAGAAAGTGTTATGGAGATATGAACCGCACCCGGTACAGCCACTGGGATTCACTAATCAGAAAGGCCCCCACTCATGTTATCCTAAAGTGTCGGAACGGAATACAATGTTTGTGGAGGGACAGTGTGTAAAGGCACATTAACTGACTTAGCGGGAACTTGATTGTGCCTAGAAGAAAGTGCAGTGGCCCAGAAAAACATGCAACTAAGGGACAACGAACGGATGGGGTGTACAGAGGAACAGAATAGAAAACAACCGTGTAAATGCGCAGCTATGCATAAGAGGGTGTTCAGCGAAAAGTGCATATTGCTCTTTTTAAACTCTTCAAAGCTGACGTTCGCATTCGTTAGGTTAAAACCTTGTTATTTGCAAGAAAATGAGACAGGAAAAATAAAACTAACGCTCTACGGAAGAAACAAACACTAACAAATTTTGAGGAACGAACAAGGGTTTGATCTTCTTATTCGGTTGACAACGGGTTTAGCAGAGATGAGGCGGTTGGGGCCGTAGATATTGCTAGAGCGGCATGGCTGATCCTTAATTGTGGATCTAGATCTGATTGCACAGAATGAGTCGGTGCTTGTTGCAACACGGAGTCAGCGTGTTTATGAATTGCTGGTTTGTGTCCGTCAATATTTATCGTCTCAGTTTTATCATCGCAGTCAATGACGAATGTTTCGTTGGTTCTGTTCACGATGCGGTACGGGCCAGAAGAGGAAAGTTAAGGGGTTGGTGCGCGAGGTGGGTAAGAGCGAGCACGAGCATGAAAGTAGAAATTCGTTTGTCAAATTTTGCACACAAAGTCTGCTCTCTAAAGTTGCACAGACTTAAGCTGTCGCATGTGGTGAGCTAGGCGATTTGCGTAGTCACCATAGTCAAAATTCCTTAGGTCTCATAGCAAGACAAATTCACAAAGTAAGCTTTATGTGCAGCCAAGTACTAAGGAGGGTATAGTGACGTACAAAGCCAAGTTTATTTTGTTCCTGCTGCCTATGAGAAATATTGAAGTTTCTTCTTTTCAGGATCAGTTAGATTTGATAAGAAGCGATGTCTTGAGTTGATAATGGAACCTACCTACAATCTTGCTAGCTGCTAAGTGGCATCTTTACAAGCAAGTAGATTAAGCATTTTACTGCAGAATCGCTCACGGTGTAATCCTCAGTCGGTAGTGACTAGAGTAACGCAACCAAATTAGGTTTCCAGCATTCTAAAAGTGCTAGTGTAAATGTCTCAAATGAGCAACCGGCTAGAGGGATCGTTTCTACTCAATGTGTAAAATTAACATCACTGGTTTAGAGGTAATCTAATCCGTTGCATATGTGTAAAGGTCCCATTAAGTCAACGTGAACCTGTTCCAAACGTGAGTTAGGAGCAGTAAAGATGTCATTTGGACTTTCCGCGTACCTGTACACTTCGGGGCATTGACTTCTAAGTGTGTGCCAACTCCAATGCGGATTCCAAGATTGACGTTAAGTCAAAAAAATAGTTCGGTTACGAGCATCTGCGCAGCACGTATGCTGAGATAAAACAGACAGTGTACCGTAGTAAAAGAGATTTATACATTTTTACGGTAACTACGGGGCGAGGAAAATTTGGGGGACATTATGAATAGTAGTCAACGTGGAGGAAGCTAACGGAACTTCGTGCAGTTTCCATGAGCCGTTGCGTCAACCGTTGTCTATACTAAAAGGTTGTCGCACGAAGTTACGTTGGTTATGCAGAGATAGATTGATCCAGGAAAGGGCATCCGATACACATAAAACATCACTTCCAACATGTATATATCTAGCACACTGAGATACGTAGTTAATGCATCTGCTTGGTAGCATCGTGTTATAAGACTGTACCCGCAATCGACAAGTTGGTCGACGCCTGCTGGTAAATCTGCGCCCTTTCACCTGCTCTGCTTGAAACCGTGGCCAACCCGACAGGAAGCAAAACAGAAGAAGACCCAACAGAACAGCCTTGTATTAGTACCGAGAACGCTCATGTTTATAGCTCGGTCTCACTAATCCTCTAAACACCACCTGGCGGATTTGGCTACCTGTCTTCCTCGTACACTTGCGATCCTCCGTTCACTGTTCACTCCGTCTGGCCAGGTTATTGGCTTGCGCGGGCACGCCATTCTTCAGCTGCCTACCAGGGGCATTGCAACTTGCATTATGTCTGATGCTCGATTTCCTCAGCTTCCGGCTGCGCCGTCGTCACACGCTGGCAGTGTCTGTAACAAGCACGCTTTGTTGTCAATCCGCGCGCGTCAGCAATCAGCTTTCTCGCATACCTGTCACCTCCTAATCGGAATTGAGTCATCTTGCAAACCCTTCGAATATGCATTTGATGGTAGGTTTACGCCCGGGGATCGATTTGCAGCCATTGTGGTGTTCTCCGCTTCTGAGCCGGCCTGCGTTGTGCTTTGGATGCGTGCAGCATTTGGTGTGTCTCACCGGGTTGTTGACCCTTAACTTCCAGCCCGAATATGTCTGATAGAATGTCCCAATGCGAAGCGGACGTTTCTTGGGGACCTTGGGTTTTGTCATGGTTCGGTCTCAACTGATTGTTGTGCCTATGCCACCTCTCACGTCCAACCATCACCTCGTCGATAACTCCAGCCTTCCTGACGATAACAGTTCTGCTCGACTACTCCTTCGGCCTTTGAAAATCTCGGGCGTCCAACATGCCACCAACAATGAATTCACGGAACCTGATTTTGCGATCTTCGCTCAGATAGCTACTGCCATGCATCTCTATTCTCCTTGGTAAAAGATTATCGAACAGCGTCCGGATCTTTCTTCCAAACTGTACTTCTGTGAAGGATTTTAGATCAGGGTCATTTGGGTTAGCAACGTTTTGATACATGCATAGGAAGGATTGCATTGGTTCCTGTGAAGCCCCTCATTGCTCTGCTTTACAGAGTACATATTTGAAGGTATCCACGAACCTTTCCGCCTGTTAGTCTGATTGTGGATGATATTGTGGTGAGAACATGTGCTGAATTCCCGTTTCCTTGCACCGCTTGTGGAAAGAAGTTGAGGTGAATTGTGTTCCATTTTCTGTCACCAACCTCTCTAGCACCCGAAATATCGGAACAGCTTCTCCAGCTCGTTGACAACTTGCTGGGCAGTTGGATTGTTTACCAGAATCACATCCAGCCACTGCGTGAATGAGTCAACCAAAAAGTGATGGGATTCGCCATTGATTTGTTCT